CACACCAGACTCCATTCAAAAACGGGCAGTTTTAACATTGAATTGCTTCATTTAAAATCTGACAAAAGGATCTTTTTCACATTGTGAGGATCGCTCTGAATTTCAGCATGGGTGTTATTCACCCGGCAGCTTTTACTTAGATATAAATGTCATCAGTTGTTTCACACCACTCGCTGCCTGCCACCCACCGACACGGAGGATTGGCCATCTGGAGAATTGTTGTCAATGTGAGGCCAGCATGACTGGGACAAAGGGATTTAAATGTACTGATAACACAGAGTGACACTCTGACCGATGGCAGGTTTGAAGGAAGAAATCCTACAGTAATGATTCCAGGACAATATTAAGAAAAATATGCCATTGAAATTCGTGAAACTCAAAAAATCCACCTGTGCTGCTGTGCCCGAGCACCTCGAGATACCAGGACGTCATTAAAACTGTGAGAGCTGCTGAATGTGAATGGATGACTAACTGGATGCACACGAGCATGCAGGTTAGGCGTCCTGAGTGCAGCTCCAGCAACGCCCTGTGTTTTCAGTGGGAGGATCACGTTTCTACGCAGGCTTCTTATGTAACACAATAACCTCAAATGCTGCTAAAAATACAACAAAAGTACTCTGGATAGGAACGGCAGAGCAAGGCTGCAGGGTTACCGGTTCGATCCCCGGTTCCTTCTGTTCGAGTGTCCTTCGGCAAAAATAATGAGCACCGAAAGCTTCGGGTCAAAGAAAATGAAAAGCAAACAAAAGGATCCACGGTGTTCATGCTCTCTTAGCTTCTGAGCAGAAACAGTGAAGCTTGAACTGACTCGTTCCCTCCGAAAGGGAATGTTCCAGCAGCACAACCTTTCATAAATCTGTCTTTGCTGTTTGCAGGCTGAAAGTGTTTCTTTGAGGATAATTATCAGTTATCTGCACCCAAGCTACAACATTTATGCTGCCGACAGCTTTTAGGTTTGTGTTGGCAGCACTTAAGCTGCATACAGGTCAGGTAAAAAGGCTGACTTGGTGCGACAGAGGAGGATGCTGGGACGGAAGGAGATGATCAGCTGTGGTGACCCATGAAAGGAGCAGCTGACAGAGCAAGACGACCTTTATCTCAGTGTTAAACTCCCCCAGTGTAGTGTTCACCCCAGCCTTCTCCTTCTCCTAACCAAGCGTTGTTGGTTAGTCAGTGCGAGTGAAACATCAGAGGAACAAAGCAGGGACGAGAACCTCAGTCCTGTCTGAGCATGTGGACAACAGGTGAGAACTCCCTGCATCAGGTGATAGTAGAAGGGTTTCAGCCTGATTCCAGCCCACTGCCTGTCCTCCACGGGACCGTTGCGTGTTTTATTTAATTAATTTATTTTATGTTTTTATTTATAATAAAGCTCAATAATGAATTTGACTTGTTCAGACTCAGGCAGTCGCGTTAACCCTAACCTGTCAGCCAAACTGAGACATGTTTGGTAAATTTGCAAGTTCTTTTTGTTCCTAATAAAACAAGAATATGTTACATTGTTACATTGAGTCTCTTTCATTCATTCCTTTAAACAAACTAATGACTGAACGTGAATCAAAAGCACCCAAATGATCTGAAGTCCTCTGTAGGTGACAGCTCCATCTCGTCAAGTGATGACCTCACGGCGGTCTAATGTTACATGCGACGCCATGCTTCAGTGACGTTTCAGTTTCTTGTGGAAATCCATGATTTTTGGAAACAGCTGATGGTGATGAAGGCGGAGCGTCCTGTTCAGTGAAAAACACGAGGGAGACTCTGAACATTGTCTGCAGTCACTTTATTTCCTGTCCTGTCGTTTTCCAGCAGTTGATTCACAGGTTAGTTAGTTGGTTGGTTGGTTGGTTGGTTGGTTGGTTGGTTGGTTGGTTGGTTGGTTAGTTGGTTAGTTGGTTAGTTGGTTAGTTGGTTAGTTAGTTATAGTTGGTGATGTGGCTGTAGTGATGTCACAGTTCTTGTGAGCAGTGAACTCGTGCCGACACGTTCCCATCATTCTTCGTTCCTCTCTTTCTTTTCTGCCGTTTGCTCACTGATTGGCTGTTCAGACACACTGTCATTCATCTTTGTGACCGCACTAAGTTACTTTTTACCTACAGGACGATTTTTGTGATTTTTTTTTCCACAAGCAGAAAAATGTTGTGTTTGAGTTCTCCTCTTCCTCACAGCAGCAGAAGTAGTGTGTGGTGTGAAGGCAGCAGGGAAACCAGCAGCAGAGTGGAGGTGAAAGCCTTCAGGCGCTCTGACACGTTACGCAATGCCGCACTGCTCTGACATGTTCCCGGCGGCCGAGCAAAGTACATCCTGAAGGTCGAACGGCGCTCTGGGAAACTTCAGGCGGAAATGTCACGGAACTCTGAGATACCGCTTGTTAAGGAGTTTCCATGTCGCTACACTTCATGAATTCACCGCCACACAGAAGACCTGTGAAATTATTCACTCCTCAGCTCATTGGAGGAAATGTAGTCATTAAAGAATAAATGAGTTCCATAATTATTTATTTCAAGAAGCTGAAAGCTGGAATCCTATTTCTCGTGTAGTGATAAACGATTTCCTCACGAGCCGCCGTAATGAACTTTTTCATGTTTCTGTGTCTCCAAAGGTTTGGCTCAGTGTTCTCGTCTTCAAACCTCTTTACAAACTTTCATTCACCCACCGATGGTCTCAGAGGCACAATGACAGGTTTAGTTTGGAGAAACACGATCGTTAAAGCAAACCTGAAGGGTCGGCTTCTTCTAGAGATGAGATTTGTATTATCTAATGTGAGACAGTTCCTTTAAAAAAAGTTTCGGAGTGAGGAGAGGTGCTGTCTGTCACCAACCACACATTCAAAGATGCTCACAATGAGCATTGCACTACAACTACAGCTCAAAATGCACAGTTTTTATTCGTTCAAGGAAAAACATCAAGTTCTTTAAGAACCAGCAAAAAAGAAACATCTGATAAACTCTCAGGACAAAAAAAATGACACAGGAAAGTCTAACAACCAGAACAGACCTGAGTGGCAACAAGCTGCACGGCCTGGTTCAAAAGTCCCCTCACCTCAGATCAAAAGTAGTTTTTCACCCAGAATTTTCCCCAAATTCCCCAAACCTGAAAAGTTCTTGAAAAGAGAAATTTCTGCCAGAAATACCTCGCTTTAAAAATAACTGCTGACAGAGAAATAAATAAATAGATCCTGAAGAGTGACAGAAAACCAAACCGTGGGTTCCTCACCTTCCATCACAAACACCAGCGAGCCCACGTCACCCTCTTTAATGATGCACGAGTCCTTCCCATAATCCACCGGGTACATGCAGTCCACGATCTCCTGAATCTGAGACAGCTCCAGGTTCTTCATGAAGTCATTGTCCAAGATGGCCTCCTTTATCAGCTCCTTCGATCTGAGAGGAGGAGAGAGGACAACAGGTCAGTAAGTAAGTCCTTATTCTACTTTCATGAGTATACCTTTATCCTACACGCCTCCTCATTATCAGGGGAAATGTATCTGCGCCGCTATGTTTGGAGGATAAGAGCAAACACCTGTGCGTCTCAAAGTCGGTATCACCTGCATGCACACCTCTCTGGACGGGATAGAGGTCTCAATCTTTATGTGCAAAATAAACTGCCTGTGCGCTGATGTCCTACCAAGTTTTTCTCATTTTTCATGCAGAAATACAGAGTTAGAATACAGAAGCACCACAGGGCTTAAATTAGTCTCCGAACCGCTGCGATTATCGAAGGCTTAAGTATGAATCATGCAAATATTATGGTTGAACCTCACGATTGTTTCACTTATGACTCATCTGATGATTATTTGATTCAAAAGTTGCTTTAAAAACCAGTGGCCTTGTCACTTGGTGTTCGCTCGCTCAAACACAGTGGTGTTTCTGAGTAGCTTATCTGCTTAGCAATTTAATTAAAAACTGTTAGAAACATTCTTTTTTCATATTCTTCACGT